TGGTCTCCCATGTGGGTGCAGGGGCCCAAGGACTTGGGCCATCCTCCACTGCTTTCCCGGGCCATAGCAGAGAGCTGGATCAGAAGAGGAGCAGCCAGGACTAGAACCTGCGCCCACATGGGCTGCTGGTGCTTCAGGCCGGGGGTTAACCTGCTGCGCCATGGCTCTGGCCCCAGAAATAATTGTTAACAGTTATTATAAAGTTAATTGTAGAAGCAGGCTTGTTTCCCCCACATGCACTGTGTCTTTGGTATCTTATTAAGTAGGACTCCATCCATCAACTTGAGAGCTTTAGCTTCACCTTTCATTTCCAGAAGTTAAAACTGGTTGCATCTCCACAGACCAACTTGAGACATTCAACTGGCGTTTTCCTGTCTTTCCAGGGGGCAGGAGTTTGGCCTAGCCCAGCTCCACTTCTCAATTCCAGCTTCCTGCTGATGGCCATCCTGGGAGGCAGCAGATTCTGGCTCAAGTACTTGATTCCCTCCCACCCACATAGGAGAACTGGATTAAGTGACTGGCTCCTGATTTCAACCAGGGCTGTTGTGTGCATTTGGGGAGTGAGCCAGCTGATTCACTCTCTGCCTCTGTGCCTCTGTAATAAAATAATAATATTAGGGCCAGCATTGCAGTGTGGCAGGTAGGGTCACTGCCTGTGACATCAGCATCCCATATGGGCAGTGGTTCGAGTCTCAACTACTTCTCTTCCAATCCCACTCCCTGCTAGTGTGCCTGGGAAGGCAGCAGAGGATGGCCAACTGTTTGGGCCCCTGCACACACGTGTCAGATCCAGAGGAGGCTCCTGACTCCTGGCTTTGGTCTGGCCAAGTCCCGGCCAGTGAGGCCATTTGGGGAGTGAACCAGTGGATGGAAGACCTCTCTCTCTCTCTCTCTCTCTCTCTGCCTTTCAAATAAATAAACATTTTTAAATGGAGATTTTCACATAAAAATCAAATATTTTTGGGGAAACAGCAATTTCCTGCTTCTTCCTCCACAAACATGCTAACACAGCATAAATATGACCATCACCCCTGTTACAATCAAAGAGAAGCAGTCATTCAATACACGAGTCGCAATAGGCTTCTGTACGAGATGTATAGACAAAGTCATTATCTTAGGATAAAGATGAGAGAGTGGTTCTAGAACTGCAACTCGTTTCAAGCTGTCTTGTTTTCTAACAGCAATCAAAGTATCAAGGTGATCTGATGATGCGTGGAGATGAATGGATCAACCCATGTAGAATTCGAATGGATCCTGCCTGGTACCCTATGAAATGGTAGGGTAGTGACAAATGATAGCACAGAGATTCAGATCTACACGTGTACATACGTGTACACTAGTGCTGGTCCCCAGTATGACACCTACCTTCCTAGCAACTGGAACCAGGAGTTTCAGCGTCACTCCATAGCACGCTGAAGCATGCTCTATAGAAGCTACCCTTTGTCAACAAGAGCTAGCTTTCCTTGAGCACTTAACTGCATGGCAGACATCACTGCATTGTTCTGTGCTAATGAGGGTGGTTGTCTTGCCATCTTGGACAGGAGTGCTTTTAACTTCTTTTAATATGGTTATGGAGATGGAAGTTGCTATTTTTGTCTTGAATATCTTTCCTTTTTCTTGTCTATATTTTAAGTATAGCTATATCATTTGTATGTTAGAATAATTAGAAAACTCTCCCATTACATTATTTTGGATGGTCCCCAAAGGAAATGTGAGCTCTTGTGGAAAGCAGGTGGGCTTCAGAATTCTGAGTCAATGATGCGGTGACACCAAACCCAAGAGAGGGAAGAGGGGGGAAAAAAGACTCTGATGGGTAAAAAACAAAAAATACAGCTCAGTAGCTTAAAGGTGGAGTATATATGAAATAAGTTCAATGTAAATGTAACTAGATGTCTTTTTGCCTTTTGGGGGGCAGAGGGATGAACTTGATCCATTGAGCAATATAAAAAAGTTATCATATGATCTTTTGCTCTTCAATCATACTATCTCAAGAAAAAATAAGTTACTGGGGGAAAAAAAAGAGAAAAGGACAATGTTTATTTTAAATAGCGTTTTGTGGGGAGCCGACATTGTGATGCAGTGGGTGAGTCCCATGTATCATCAGAAAGCTGCTTCAAGTTCCAGCTGCTTCTGATCCAGCTCTGTGCGAATTCACCCAGGAACGCAGTGCAAGGTGGCTCAAGTACTTGGGCCCCTGCCATCCATGTGGGAGACCAGATTGATTTTTGATTTCCGGACTCCTGGCTTGGCCTGGTTCAGCCATGGCTGTTGTAGCCATTTATGGAGTAAAACAGTGGATGGAAGGGGTGTGTGTGTGTGTGTGTGTGTGTGTCCCTCTCTCTTGGCTGCTCTGCCTTTCAAATAAATAAAAATAAACCTTAAAAGAATAAATGGAGTTTGGGGGTGTTACGTGGATTTTATTTACCCACAGGCAAAATTCCCTGCCCTGTTTACATTGGGATGGGGCCGGGGAGCAGACATTAAACAAAATAAATCAATACTGCCATGTTTCTGAAGATGATAACACAGAGGAAATTTAACCGAGAGACCGGATGAGATGATTGTCACAGAGATTTGTATTGAAGAGCTAGCAAGGGTACCATTCACTCCGAGAGGGATTGTGTATGGGGACAGCGTTAAAGAGGTGCTGTTTTGAGTGTAATTCACCAATTCCTCACCTCAGGTCCTCCTGGTGCCTCAAACTTGGCAACCCCCTTAGTTTCTCCCAAGCCTGGATTCCTCACCCTCTCGCCTTGTGGCCATGCAGTTGATTCTGCCAGCTGAATCGTCAAGTTCAGGTTCTTCTCCACCCCTACTACCTTCCAGAGTAATGCAGTCTCCTTGTAGCCACCCTCACCTCTCTTAATTCTGTCCTCCAGCCTGTCTTCAGAGCAGTCTTTCTAAATCGCTCTGTGTTGCCTAGTAAACTTCAGACTTTCAACATGCATCCCAAACTCTTCATACCTTGCCTTCCGCCCCTTCTCAAGAATTTTCTCTTGCCCGTTCCGAAAGTCGTAGTCTTTAGCTCTAAAAAATTATGTGCCGTTTCACTAATGTGCCCAACTGTTGGAATCTTCCTGCTCTTGCTCATTTTCTTTTGAGCTTGGAATTCCCTGTTGTCTGTGTTTTAAATTGCTCCCTGTCCCACCAAAATCCACCTCATGTCATGATCATTATGAAGGTAGCGCTGCACCCTTTTCCCAAGTAGCATTAGTTGGTCCCGCTCTCCTGTGCCGCAACACTTGTACCACTGAGGCCTTGAGCAGCAGTAGCCAGGCCTTGCTCCCTTTAGCTTGCCCTGTGCTTGGCCCAGTAATTGGCACATAGCTGGAACTTTGTTATTGTGATTTTTTAAAATGATTTATTTATTTATTTGAAAGTCAGAGTTACACACACACACAGAGGTCTTCCGTCCACTGGTTCACACCCCAGTTGGTCAAAATGGCCAGAGCTGTGCGGAAGCCAGGATCCAGGAGCTTCTTCCAGGTCTCCCACGTGGGTGCAGGGGCCCAAGGACTTGGGCCATCTTCTGCTGCTTTCCCAGGCCACAGCAGAGAGCTGCATCGGAAGTGGAGCAGCCGGGACTCAAACCAGCACCCATATGGGATGCTAGCACTGCAGGCGGCGGCTTCACCCGCTAAGCCACAGTGCCAGCCCCAATTATTGTGATTTTTGAGCATACTTCATTTAGGATGGCCAAGGGACATTCACAAAGAGCATAAGCGCATGCAAGCGCGCACGTGTGAGTGTGTGTGTGTGTGTGTGTGTGAGAGAGAGAGAGAGAGAGAGAGAGGTAGTAGCGGCAGTATGAGTTCTGAGTGAGAATTATGTAGCACAGGATAATAGAAGCTAAATATTGAAGAAGGAGGTCTCATTTAGAGAGCAGGTGGGGGAAAGAAGGGGTCTTCGAAGCTGCCAAGGGCAGGACTGTGCCTAGTATATAATAGATAGCCAGTAAGGCCGGCGCTGCGGCTCACTAGGCTAATCCTCTGCCTGCGGCACTGGCACACCGGGTTCTAGTCCCGGTCGGGGTGCCGGATTCTGTCCCGGTTGCCCCTCTTCCAGGCCAGCTCTCTGCTGTGGCCAGGGAGTGTAGTGGAGAATGGCCCAAGTGCTTGGGTCCTGCACCCGCATGGGAGACCAGGAGAAGCACCTGGCTCCTGGCTTCAAATCAGTGCGATGCGCCAGCCGAAGCATGCCAACCGCGGTGGCCATTGGAGGGTGAACCAACGGCAAAAGGAAGACCTTTCTCTGTCTCTCTCTCTCTGTCCACTCTGCCTGTCAAAAAATAATAATAATAATAAAATAGATAGCCAGTAAACACTCATTGAACCTAGAGTTTAAAAAATTTATTTGGCAATGAGAGTATCTGGGAGTTTGGTTAGGGTTAGGATTAAGTTTAAACTATCAAACGCCGGCGCTGTGGCGTAGGAGGTAAAGCCACTGCCTGCGGTGCCGGCATCCCATATAGGCACCCGTTGAGTCCTGGCTGCTCCACCACCCATCCAGCTCTCTGCTATGGCCTGGGAAAGCAGTGGAAGATGGCCCAAGTCCTTGGGCCCCTGTACCCATGTGGGAGACCAGGAAGAAGCTCCTGGCTCCTGGCTTCAGATCGGCGTAGCTCCAGCTATTGCGGCCGTCTGGGGAGTGAACCAGTAGCTGAAGGACCTCTCTCTCTGCCTCTCCTTCTCTCTGTGCAACTCTGACTTTCAAATAAATAAATAAATCTTATAAAAAAAGTTTAAACTATCAAAAACAATTCACTTTTTCTCTTGAAGATTTATTTGAAAGACAGAGTTACAGAAAAAGAGAGGGAGAGACAGAGAGAAGGGTCTCCAACTGCTGGTTCACTCCCCAGATGGTTGTGGACGGCCAGGGCTGAGCCAGGCAGAAGCCAGGAGCTTCCTCCAGGCCTCCCACATGGGTGCAGGTGCCCAAGCACCTGGGGCATCTTCCCCTGCTTTCCCCTGCATTAGCAAGGAGCGCTCGGGCACTCCTCCCGCTGGGTCAGGGAGATGCCTGCGGGTACTCGGGCGGCCGCTGGGGGCGCTGCGGGGCCGGGGGAGGCGTGGCGCGGCGCGGGCCGGGGCGGGGCTGCGCGCAGCGGTTACTCGCGGCGGGCAGTTCAAACCGAAGGAGGGAAAGGCGGCGGCCCCAAGCGGACCTGGCGTGGGGGTTGCCATAGCCCGGCATCCCTGGGGGCCCTGCCGCGGCTCCTCCCCGACTCGCCCGGCTCCCCTGCCCCCAGTCCCGCCCGGGCGCCGCGCCTTCGGCCTCAAGGTGGGCGGCCCGAGGGCCCCCAGGTGTGCGCCGGCTAACGGGCCCCCGGACGCCCCCACGCCCGCGCCCCACTGTGTTGTTTTCCAGGTGCCAGGGCCTGCTCGCAGCCGTTCGCTGCTCTGCTCCAGGTGCCGCCAGCCCGGCCTGGAGAAGGTCGCGGGAGGGCACGAGCGGATCCTCGGCGTCCCGGTGAGACCGTTACGCGGCCAGCCGCCCGCAGCGCCTCAGGGGCCGGGAGTGAGGCTCCCGCTGCCTTTCCGGAAACCCGGCTGGGGAAGCTCCTCAGGAGAAAAACCCGGCTCGGGAGAGTCCTGTTCCCTGGAGGGGGGCAGGAAAAAACAAAAACAAACCCGAGGGATCGCGGCTCCGGGCCTCTGGACGCGCTAGGAGCGCTCCCTGCGGCGCACACCTCGGTGGAACCGAGTCGTAGCAGTGTTGTGCCGCTGCCGTCGCGTCAGGATGAGTTGTTCAACCTGAGGGTGGTTTTCTTTTTCTTCCCTTTGAGGGACATGACTGTGGCATGAATTTGAAAGGCAGAGGTGAGAGGTTTTCTGATTTGGAAGGCTGCGTAGCTTTGACGTCTAAGAGCTCGAGACTTCCTGATGGTAAGAGCTGCCTCCTTGACAAGGGAAGACGATTCGAATACGGTTAAATAGTAAATGTGTGATTTTCTGAATCGATAGATGCTTTTCCAAAAAAGAGCGCTTTAGAGATGTGTTCTTAACACTTGATCGGGAGCCGGGTTTTTAAAAAGCCGACTGAAACAGACTGGTTTGATCGGTCGGTGCACATTCCCTGATTTTACATAGATGCTTTTAAAGAATTTCGAGTTTTTTGAAAAATCAAGTTTTGAGACCATCTTCGGGGTAGTCAAAGATGAAAAGGATGACAAAAGGGAAAGCTCTTTGGAGGCAGCTGCAAATGTGTAGATGAACAGAAAAATATAAGGGGTGTGTGTCTGTGTGTGTGATGCCAGTAGCTTGTGGTTTTTAGGGGAGGGGATAATACTACCGCCTAGTTTCTAACCATTTTGCCTCTCGGTTTCCCAAATTCGAGCATAGTGAGACACCTAGTGGTAAAATAGCAGAACGGTTACATTTTATTTATTTGAGACAGCATCACTTTGTCACTCCCCAAATGCTGGTAACAGGCAGGGCCGGGTCAGGCCAAAACCAGGAGCCAGGAAATCTATCCAGGTCTCCCAAGAGCGCTGCCTCCTAGTCACACATTGTTAGGAAACGAATCAGGTGCTCTCATAAGGGATGCTGCTATCCCAAGGGACATCTTAACCACTGCACCAGATCCCTGTCCTTTTAAAAGCATTCCCTGACCTAATTTTACCAAACCGAGTACAAACTGTTTTTTAATACAATGATTCTCAGAGATGGGGAAATTAAGATGTAATTTGAAAACACAATCTGTATTATTAATACTTGGAAAACAAAAAAGATTTTAAAATATGAGCACAGATTTTAAAATATGAACACATTGTAGAAAGCAAAGTTTGATCATTGTTTTGGCTCTTAACACGTGTGCAGAAGTTAGCATAGATCTGAGGGCATGTAGATAGCTAAGGAATATGTGTGGTGGGCATTGGGGCTCAGGGGCTTAAGCCATCGCCCGGGACATCTGTGTCACTTTTCGTGAGTGCCAGTTTGACTCCTAGCTGTTCCAATCCAGATTCCTGCTAATGCACTTGAAGCAGCAGGTGATGGTCCAAGTACTTAGGCTCTGCCACCCATGTAGGAGAACCAGGCTCCTGACTTGAGCCTGGTTTAGCCCCACTGTTGTGGGCATTTGGGGAGTAAACTAGCAGATGGAAGATATCTGTACATCTCTCCCTCTCTCTCTGTCACTCTACCTTCTAAATAAATAAATCCTTTTTAAAAAGGAAGATGTGTGAGATTTATCTACAGGAGGTGTGGAAGGGGTAGGTGTTGTGGCCCAGCTGGTTAAGCTGCTGCCTGCGATGCCCACATGCCCTCCCAGAGTGCCAGTTCAAGTGCTAGCTGCTCTGCTTCTGATCATGCTGCCTGCTAATGCATCCTGGGAGGTAGCACTTGATGGCCCAGTAATTGGGTTCCTGCACCCATGTGAGAGACCTAAATGGGATTCCAGGTTCCTGGCTTTGCCCTGGCCCAACCCTGGCTGTTGTGGGCATTTGGAGAGTGAACAGTAGGTGGAAGATTCTCTCTCTCTCTCCCTCTCTCTCTCTCTCTCTCTCTGTGTCCACTTTGCCTTTTAAGTAGATGAAAAATAAATATTAAATTATTTTAAGGGGGTATATGATTCTGTTTTAATTATTTTAAAGATTTACGTATTTTAAAAGAGATGTAGATAGAGAGAGAAAAGAGTGAGAGATCTGCCATTGGCTGGTTCACTCCCCAGATGGCTATAACAGCCAGCACTAAGCCAGGCCGAAGTCAGAAGCTTCAGATGGGTCTCCCCCTTGGGTGGCAGGGTCAGAACACCTGAGTCATCTTCAGCTGCTATCCTTGGGCCATTAGCAGGGAGCTGGATGGGAAGTGGAACAGCTGGGACATGAGCCGGCACCCACACGGGATGCCAGCATCACAGGAAGCAGCTTTACCTGCTACACCACAGTGCCCGCCCCTGCTTTAAGTTTTTTTAATTAATTTTTTTTTGTTTATTTGAAAGCCCCTGGCTTGAAAGGCAGGGACAGAGAGATCTTTTATCCACTTGCTCACTCCCCAAATGCCTACAACAGCTGGGGCTGAGCCAAGCTTAAGCCAGGAGCCCAGAGCTCAATCCCAGTTTCTGGTATGGATAGCAGAGACCCGAATACTTGGGACATCGCCTGCTGCCACCCTGGGTGCACAGTGGCAGGAAACTGGAGTCTGAGACAGAGCCAGTGCTCTAAGATAGGCGCTCTGAAATGGGATGCAGGCATCCCAAGTGGCGTCCTAACTGACGTGCCAAATGCCCGCTCTGAGAGTATCGTTTTAAAAGGTTAGATACTTTCCCCAGTAAAAATGATCTCCCAATGATCATAATACCATAAAGAAATGTTTTGTTCTGTTTGAAGTTAGCATTTTTTTAAAAGATTTACTTTATTTATTTGAAAGCCAGAGTTACAGAGAGAGGGGAGAGACAGAGAGAGCTCTTCCATCCACTGGTTCACTCCCCAAATGGCTGCAAAGGCCAGGGCTGGGCCAGACTGATGCCAGGAGTCAGAAGCTTCATCCAGGTCTCCTACATGGGTGCAGGGGCCCAAGGACTTCAGCCATCCTTTGCTGCTTTCCCAGGCCATTAGCAAGGAGCTAGATCAAAAGTAGAGAAGCTGGGACTCGAACCAGTGCCTGTATGGGATGCCAATGTCGCAGGCAGCAACTTTACCCACTATGCCACAATGCTGGCCCCAGCAATTTGATTTTGTAGCAAGCCCATTCTGTTACATATTTAACTGTTGTATATTAGGCATAAATAAACTACTATACCATTATAGTTCACTAAAATAAATTTTCTTAATATTGTTAAATTTTTTTTAATTTTTATTTTTATTTGAAAGGCAGAGAGAAGTAGAGGAAGGAGAGAGATCTTCCATCTGCAGGTTCACTCCCCAAATGACTACAACAGCCAGGGCTGAGACAGGCTGAAGTCAGGAGCCTGGAACTCCATCTGGGTCTCCCACATTGGTGGCAGGGGCCCAAGGACTTGAGCTGTCTCCTGCTCTCTCCCAGGATGCACATTAGCAGGAAGCTGGATTGAAAGTCGAGCAGTCAGGACTCAAATCAGGCATTCCAATGTGGGACACGGGTGTCCCAAGCAGCTATTTCATTGCTGCACCAAACACCCCACCACTGTCCCCGCCCCAAATCTTTTAATAGAGGAAAAAAAATCATGCCTTTGGCCTGCAGAAAACTGAAGGAATGTTAATTTTCTTCATGTCTTTTTCATAATCTGGAGAGGTATCAAAAACTGTAATACTTTTCTTATCTTTGCTTTAAGATTTAATTCAAATTTCTTTTTCTAGAAAAGATTTATTTTATTTATTTGAAAGACAGAGTTACAGAGAGAGGTAGAGACAGATAAAGAGGTCTTCCATCTGCTGGTTCACTCCCCAGATGGCCGCAACGGCCGGAGCTGTGCTGATCTGAAGCCAGGAGCCAGGAGCTTCCTCCGGGTCTCCCACATGGGTGCAGGGACCCAAGGACTTGGGCTATTCTCCACTGCTTTCCCAGGCACATCATCAGGGAGCTGGATCGGAAGTGGAGCAGCCTGGACTCGAACCAGCTCCCATATGGGATGCTGGAACTGCAGGCTGGGGCTTTAACCTGCTGTACCACAGTGCCGGCCCCTCAAATAAAGAAGGAATGTGAATATGCTGTTGAAAAAGTTAAGGAGTAAAATATTGCCTAGTGTTAATCTTTATCCATATAATTACTGAGTATTCTTTAAGTAATTGATTTGAATTCATTATTTGCAACTTGAAGTGTGTTATAAACAGTGGTTACCCTGACAAATAGTTGTCTATTTGCTAATTCAAGCCTGAAACTGGAGCTTAGGTCTCAAAAACCATGTAGAAGGCATGAGTAAGTGTGGCGTGCCAAGTTTGAAGCAGCCCCCTATCTGTGGTGCAGTGATTCATGTTGATTAGCTAAAGAAGAATGTTCGTAATTTAGCAGTGAGATAGTCTTTTTTTTTTTTTTTTTTTTTGAGAGGCAGAAAGAGGGACAGATAGAGTGCCCATCCATTGGTTCACTCCCCAAAATGCCTGCAAGAGCTAGAGGTGGGCCAGGCTGAATCTTCTAGCTGAGAGCCCTATCCAGGTCTCCCACATGGGTGGCAGGAACCCAATTACTTGAGCCTTCACTGCTGCCTCCCGGGGTCCAGCAGGAAGCTGGAGTCAGGGGTCAGAGGCAGGCATCCAGCCCAGGTACTGTGACATGGGATGTAGCAGTCTTTTCTCTTTCTTCCTTCCTTCCTTCCTTCCTTCCTTCCTTCCTTCCTTCCTTCCTTCCTTCCTTCCTTCCTTCCTT